AGCGCGATTCAAAGTCCGCGAGGCACAACGACGGCGCTTCCCCACCCATCTCCTACGCACCTGGTAGCAGAAGGGGCAGACCCACATCTTGCCGATGAAGTCCACGCGCGCGAACGGGTTGAGCACGGCGACGCACGACTTGCAGCGGATGGGCTCGTACGGCAGCACGGGCATGTCGGGCAGGCGCTTCACGGGCGTGTACAGCGCCGCGAACGGCACCACGCACTTGGTCGCCTCCACTTTAGAATTCGGCCACACGTTCCACGTCAGCCGCACGCCGTCCACCGCCTCCAGATCCGCGAAATCCGGCGCTGCCATGGTGAACTGCTGTGGTCGATGCTGCTAGGGGTTTGTGTCTATAACGTTTCTATGTTCTATGACGGATCGCTGATTTTCGCCGTTAGGGTGGTCGACTGGGACGATTAGCCGGTAAAGTAGCCGGTAAGCCGTGAGTGACAAATCGTTAAACGGAATCCTCAAATTCGTGCAGAAGACCGGCAATGAACGAATTTACTTGCTGAAACAGAGAGCAGAAGATCTGGAACGACGAGGCACGCACGCGAATCTCGAGTACCTCGTAAATCCGTACACTGGTCAGCACTTATCGCGCTGCTCTTCGATCAGGCCTAGCGAGTCAGATCCAGTCGAGCTGGCGACGATAAGTCTTCGCAGGAAGGGAATGGGAGCCGACAGTGCGCGATGAAAAGCCGGTACGGCCCTGATCAAATGATCGCTGGTTACTCAGAGCAGCTAGCTACTAGGCACGGAACCAAAGCAATCGCGCTTCAACAAAAGCTACTAAAAAGGCTACTAGCTACTTTAGTCGCCTACCCACCCAACCCGGCGGAATCCGAGAAGCAGCAGCAGCAGCAGCAGAAGCAGTTGAAATCTAGGTACGTGATCAGAGTACGCGATCAGTGTTATGGAGACGACCTAGTTCGGAACGGAGTCAAGCGGTGAGCCCAGGCAACGAAGTGAAAGTCGGAGGGACACTGGGAACAGCTCCTCCTGATTCCTGAATCCTGATTGAACATGGTTGAAGTGGACGATTGGATGCGGCGGAGCGGAGCTAGGCCATCGGCGCGATAGGCTGGATGGTTCACAGACGCGCGGGAAGGGTTCTGACAAGTGGAAGGTTCGGTTATACAACCGCGTTTGTAGCCACTGCTGTCAGCATTGAAAGCTCTTTCATTCTATTATAGCATCAACCGTTTATATTCAGTTTTGCGAGGTCATGCCCTTGTTGGGAAAATGTTGTTGGGGTAGTCAATAACGAGTGAGGTGCCTTGAACTGTTCAACTGTGAGGGGGCATCTCACCCGTTGGATGGGAAGCAGATGTCGGCAAGATATCGAGCAGAATCTGCTGTGCCAGGGACTTCAGAATTTTGCAGCAGCGCTTCCGCCATCCCAAAATTTGCGCCAGCCCCCCTACCCGTTAGGGCAAAGTTATCCCTTGAGCCTCTGACACCAGTCAGAAGTCCTGAGGGATGCGCTGCGCAAACCTCAAAAGTTGCGCAGCTCCCACCATGTCTGTTTGGGAATTGGAAGATGGGCGAAAACCGAATGTCTTTTGCGAAACGCATTCTCTTTGCCCTTTTGGAGCATTCTAGCGTCGCGAAAGAACCACATTCTTCGCCACAACCATTCAGTTTGCGAAACCCCGCCGCGGTTCTTCCCCCGCACCGGCGTTTTCCCGATTCCAGTCCGCCTTTGCGGCATGGCGCTTCGGCCCGGTTCGCCATAAGTGGACGGTGGCGGAAGCAGCCGCTCCGCCAAGTTGGGAAACCAGCCTTGGGATTGGCTGGCCTTGGCTGGAATTCCCTATTTGGGACTCTGGTGGTCCCCCAGAAACCCCAGTTCCGCCAGCCTGATGGGCGAGAAGCGAGCAGCAGCACTGCAAACTGAAGCGCAAACCAGACAAGCCAAACCAAGCCCAACCGCTTTTTGCCCCACATTTCAACTCACACAATGCCTCGCCTAATTTTGGAAAGCATTTTCTGTGAATTCTATTCCTAGTCGCTCAATCTCCAGGACAATTCTTCTCCCTGAGACTTGGCTCTGGTGGCAGTTCCCCTTGCTGGCGGCTTATCTCTGGCGCCGTTGTTCGCTGGCGACTTTATCTCTGGAGGCTGACTTTCTCGGTGACGGCGGTCTCTACCATTTTGGCTGCGTTTTTCTCTCCAGCGACTGTTTCTATCGTTCAGGCGACGGTTTTCGCACTGGCGTCTCATGTGGTGACGATTTTTTTCGCGGGCGTTTCTGGTGGCGATAATTCTTCTCGTTGGCGTCAATTCGAACGGCGACGATCGCGACGATGCCGAAACAGTTAATCGGACAAGGTTAGTCCTGCCAGCGCGGTGGTTTTCTGTCGCTGGCGAAATTTCACCGTCGACGACTTTCTCAATTCTATCAGAAGTCATGTTTTCGCCGCCGCATATTTCTGATGCGCTTTTCCGAATTTTACGTGTCTTCCCTCCCGTCGCAGGTGCATCTGCTCGATTCAAGACGCGCCGTCGCTACGCGGCGATTTGTCATCCCCACGAGTTCCGCGTTTCTTCGTCCATTCTGCTCTCGCTGCTCGCGTTGCGTCGTTCGCTCTGCTCGATTTCGGCCGTCCGCTCTGCTCGATTTCGGCCGTCCGCTCTGCTCGATTTTGGCCGTCCGCTCTGCTCGATTTCGGCCGTCCGCTCTGCTCGATTTCGGCCGTCCGCTCTGCTCGATTTCGGCCGTCCGCTCTGCTCAATCTCGGCCGTCCGCTCTGCTCGATTTCGGCCATCCGCTTTGCTCGACTTTCTTCGTCGCCGGGCTTCTCGCGTTTCGCCGTCCGTTTTGCGTCGCAAGCGACTGCACGAGGCACGTCGCGTTCCGCCGTCCGCGCTGCACGCCGTCGCGGTCCACCTCGCCGCGACAGCGCCGTCAGCAACGTCCGTTCCTGAGATGAGTATTCGCCCTTCACCTTACCGCCTGCCTTTGACAGCACGCTTTGCACACTGCTTCGTCTTTTCACATACCTTCACCTCCCCCCTCCCTCCCCCTCCCCCCCCTCTCCCCCTAGCCCATGGCGCAGGGCGCTTGAACCGCACGCATAGGGTCCAGTCGCTAGTGGGTTACGGTCAGAGTCGCATGCACGCGTCGCCGCGTCTGTCGTTGCTCGCTCGCTCGCTTGCTCGCGCCTCTGTGCCATGGGCTATCCCCATCCCTCCCCCCCCCCTTCCCGCCACCACAGGCGTGGATCTGCGTGCGTTTCCTGCCATGCTCGTTGGGCCGGCGGTTTCTGCGTGCTCTCTCCACGAGCTATCAATGTCCTCCGCCCCTTCTGCTCCCTTCCCTCCACAGCAGCAAATGGTGGCGAAGGGCGGGTCGACGAAGGCCCCTCTGCTGGTTCCGCTCAATCTTCCTCCTCCCTGCTCCACTCCTCGCGCTCACTCTCTCCCCCCTGCCCCGTTTCTCCTCTCTCCTCTCCCCCCCTCGCCTGACAGGATGCTTGGAAGCATGGGGCACAATGGAGTGACGGGAGGCAGCAGACGAGCACCTGACGGGAGGCAGCAGATTCAGCAGAGTCAGCAGAGTCAGCAGGCTCCTTGAAGCTAAGCTTAGTATTCTCGGCCCAGTGCCCAGTGCCCAGTGCCCAGTGCCCAGTGCATGCTCTCTCATGCTGCGCCTTATTGCACACTGCCATGCACCCCGATGCTTTATCATTGCTTCATGCACCCAACCACTCATGGCTCCCATTTCCCTCTAACTCCCACCCCACCCCACCCCACCCCACCCCTCCTCCCGCCCTCCTCCCCCCCCCGAGCCCATGGCACAGGGTGACTGAGCCGCTTGCATAGAGTCCTGTCTAGTGGGTTACGCCAGTCCAGTCTTAGCTGCTCGCTTGCGTCGCGTTGATGTCCCCCTTCCCTCCCCCCCCCTCCTCCCACCTCCCTGTTACTTCCCCGCTGTCGCTTGCTTGCACCTCTGTGCCGTGGGGGACCCCCCTCCCTCCCGCCTCCCCCCTTCCCCCTTCCCCCCCGCAGGTGTGTTGCTGCACGGTCATGGGCCCGTGGGGCTTCCGTGGGGCTCTGAACCTCCTTTCTTGTGACACGTGCACTGTGATCGGCCCTCTCATCCGCTGCCCATCACTCGTCAATTCATGCCTCTCCCGCCTGCCTCCTGTCTTCTCTTCCCTCCCTCCATGATACTCATCGGAAGCAAGGGCAGGCAACCCTCTCTGCTGCGAGATCGCCCTGCCCCACCCCACCTGCTGCTGCTGTTGCTACTGCTGCTGGCGCTCTGCTAGCACACGCGCCTGAGAGGAGTCGGCCAACAGCTTCCTGCTGCTGCTTCACCTGCCGTCGCCACTCGCCCAGCTTTCAGCTAAGTGTCTCTTCCTCTATACGCCTGCTCTCTGCTGTCATTCGCTTTCCTGCTGTCAGTCGTTTCATACCCTCAACTCAAAGCGATGCCACTGGTGCCAGCGCGGTTTGCAGGCCACAGACCCCCTCTCTGCAGGTAAGCCCCCCCCCCAGGTACAGCAGGTACAGCCCTCAGGTTCAGCCACACGCCCTCAGGTATAGCCGCCATGGGTCTGTGGCTTGTAGCTGGCGCTCCTCCAGTGGCCGTCTTCCCTTCTTCCCTCCCTGCACCTCACCCCTCGTGCATGCTTTTACCCCCGGCCCACTTCACCCCGCACTGACTGCTGCTGTGTGTGCATGCCAGGTGGCGGGGAGGGGTGCGGGTCAACACCGCTGCTTCCCCACGCCCCTCCCCTGGGGATGAGGCAGCAGTTGGGGAGGAGGAGGGGCAGCAGCAGCCGAGGGGAAGGAAGGGGCGGCAGCAGGGCTTTTCACTTCACACTTCCAGCTAAGTATTTTCGCCTCCGTGGACCTTGCCTTTCGTTCTGTCAAGTGCTGATCATTCCGCTTCGTTTCTTATATCATGTGCTTCCATGCTTCCATGCTTCCATGCTTCCATGCTTCCATGCTTCCATGCTTTCTCCTCCAAAATCTCGCCACTGGTTGGGGCCCGGATCACAAGTCACAAACCCCCCCTACTGCAGGTAACCCCTCAGGTTCAGCCCCCCTAAAGCCTAACAGCCCCCTCAGGTTTACCCCCTCAGGTATCCTCGGGGGTCTGTGGCGTGTGGCTGGAGCTCCACCAGTCGCCCCTCACCGCACCCACCCACCCACCCCCCCCTTTTCTGCAGCTCGCCTGCATACATGGCCCTTCGTCCTCCACTGCGCACTGACTGCTGCTGTGTGTGCATGCCAGGTGGCGGGGAGGGGCGTGGCGGTCAACACCGGCTTCCTCACACGCCCCTCCCCTGTGGCGGTGCAGGTTGGTGGGGGGAGGGGCAGCAGTAGGCGAGGAGAAGGAAGGGGCAGCAAGCAACCGGCCTTCAACTATCTTCCAGCTAAGTATTCTCTCCTCCTTGGCCGTTGCCTCTCGTTCCGCCGAGCTTTCATAATTCTGTTCGCATCAATCGCAGGTCAGTCTATGCTTTCTCCTTTAAATCTCGCCACTGGTTGGGGCCAAGCTCACAAGCCATTGACGCCCCACTGATCCCCCAGGTTCAGCCCCCCTAAAGCCTTACAGCCCCCCCCAGGTTAAGCCCCTACTACAAGTTTGTCCCCCCCTCAGGTCCCCTTGGGGGTCTGTGGCTTGTGGCTGAGCCCCTCCCCTCCCTGGCGTGCAGATTGCTGTCAGTTGCCGTGTCACCCGTACCTCCTCTCCTCACTCTGCACTCACCAGCTCTGCGTGTGTGCCTGGCAGGTGGAGGGGAGGGGCATGGGGTCACCACCAACGCTCCCCCACGCCCCTCCCCTGTGGCCGTGCGGGCGGTGGGCCTCCTCCTCTCCCCGTCTCTGCAGTGCAGTGCCTGCTGCAGAGGAGGCGGCAGGCAGAGGGGCTGCTGAAGTGGCTTCTATCAGCCACTGCACTTAAACAGTTAAGTACAATCCCGTGCCTTCTCGCTGCTACCCCCTTTGCATTGCCTCACTTTGTCTCCCTCTCACATGCACTCCTCCTCCACGCATCCTTTATTCCGTCCTTGCTGCATGCCCACTGTCACATGCTCCCTGCCCAAAACCAAACCACTTGCAGCAGCCTACCTCACATGGTGCAGACCCCCCTATCCCAGGTATCCCCCCCCCCTCAAGCCCACAGGTTAAGCCTACTCCGAAACTCCTAAGACTTATACCCCCCCCCCCCTATATTACTATGAATTAACCCTGGGTCTGCACCATGTGCCTAGCTCTGCTCCAAGGGTCCCTCTGCTGCTATCACCTGGCACCTGCACACGTCTCACGCTTCCATCCCTTGCTGCTGACTAACTGCTCTTCAGTTTTCTCCTTGCAGGTTGAGGGGAGGGGTGTGCTGGTCAACACCGACAATCCCCCACGCCCCTCCCCTGTGGCCGTGCAGGTGCATACATGCGCACGGGGTGTGGGGAGTGATGCTGCCATGAGGGAGAGTATCGGGGGTGGGGTTGGCCTCTCATCGTGGTAAGCCCCTTTTCACCAGCCCCGCCCCGCCTACTGCTGCAGATGATGCCCGGTCATGCTCTTTCATTGGAAGAGGATTGCCTTCTTCTGTTCCGTCCACCCACTCCTGCGCCTAATCACCTCCTTGTCTCCACCTCTCCCCTCCCCTCCTCCCCTTCCCCCCACGCCCACCCCTCCCTCCCCTCCCCCACCTCCCAGCATGGCAGATCTGCAAGCGTTGGTGTTGTGGCTGGAGTAGGGGGAGCAGCAGGGGAAGCAGCTGCAGCAGGTGGCAGCGTTTCGAGAGGAGGGAGCGGGGCAGCGGGAGGGGTGGCTCGGGCAAGCAACCAGCTAAGTTGTCTCTACTCCCTGAGCCCGCGTTGGTTTTTCAGTTCACACCTTGCCCCTCCTTCTGTCATTTGTTTCGTCCCTGCAAACCATGCCACCAGTAGCAGCGCAGCGAACAAGCCGCAGACCCCAGTAACTGCAGGAATTTCCCCAGGTGTTACAGGTTTGACCCCAGGTATTTCAGGTATACCCGCAGGTCAAGCCAACCCCCCCCCCCCCCTTGGGTCTGTGGCTTCTAGCTGAGACTCTACCGGTGGCTCCCTCCCTTCGCCCTCTCCCTTGTGCTTTGCTTGCACATCTCAATTCCTTCTGCCCACCACTCTCTCCTGGACTAACTACCTCCCCTCTTCCCCCTCTCCCCTCCCCCCTCACCCTCCTCTCCTTCCGCTCCCCCCCTCCCCCCCAGCAGGGCCTCTGCTGGCGGGTCTGCAAGCGTCTGTGCAGTGGCTGCTGTGACTGCAGGGGGACGGGAGGGGAGGGGTGTGAAGTGGGTGCTGGGAAGCGCTTGAGTGGCGGGAAGCAGAGAAGAAAGGGCTGGAGCTGCCAGCTGGGAGCTGAGAGCACACAAGCAAGCAGCCGCTGCAGATAAGTGCTTTCACACGCGCTCTCTCACTTTCGTCTGACTTTGTGCAACACTCTCACATGCGCGCTTACATATGCCATGTCACCTCATGATTCCTTTCATGCTGCATGGCTCCTAAAAGCAAACCACTTGCAGCAGCCTACCTCACATGGTGCAGACCCCCCCCCCAGGTATCTCCCCCCCTTCTCGTAAGCCCATTCAAACTATAAATACCGCCTCCTTATACTATTACCCTGCGGTCTGCACCTTGTGCCTAGTGCTGCTCCAATGGTCCCTCTGCTGTTGTCATGTGCCACTCCCCCCCCATGCACACCTCTCACCCTTCTTCCCCCAGCCGTTTACTAACTTGTCTACAGTCTTTGCTGGTTGAGGGGAGGGGCGTGGGGGTCAGCACTGCCACTCCCCCGCACCCCTCCCCTGTGGCCGTGCAGGTACATGCATGCACACGGGGAGCCGCTGGGAGGGATGATGCCATGAGGGAGAGTATCTGGGGCAGGGTTGGCCTCTCAAGGTAACCCCCTGTCCACCAGCCCCTCCTACTGCTGCTAGTGATGCCCGTTCACTGTCTTTCCTGTTCTTGCATGCTTTGGCTCTTTCCTTCTTCCAAAGATATGGCTCTTGAGCGTACTTCACTAACTTGCTCTCTGTGTGCCTCCCCTTCATCCCCCAGCAGGTCACTTGGCATCAGATCAGATCACCTGAAGACCGTAGCTGAGAAGCTGAGAAGCTCACCTCAGCAGCAGCAGCAGCACTTAGGTTTGGGGGTTAGCGGGCAGGCTAGGAGTAGGAGTAAGCGAGGTATGTTACCAGGTGAGGTATGGTACCAGGTAAGGTATGGTCATCTCACCCCCCTGCTTCCTTACTACAGCATGTGGATCTGGAGCCTTGGAGCAAGGGCAGGAGAATGGAGCATGGGCAGGAGAAGGGAACCCACCCCCCTCTGTCAAAGCCTCTCTTCTCTTCTCCCTCTCCCCTTCCCCCAGCAGCATCTCGCCTCGAGGGAAGGAGAGTCCAGGGCCCATCCTCACCCCCCCTCCCCCTCCTCAGCAGGTTGCAGAATCATGGTGCTGCATTCGACTATGGTTGGTGGAGGTAAGTGGGTGTTGAGATATGGGGAAGGAAGGGGAAGGGGGGGGTGGTGGGAAGCATAGGAGCAAGCATGCGGCTCACTCTCGTAGGGGCAGTACCCTCTGTGGTGCCTACCTTGTTGGTCGGGTGCGGTCAGTGGAAAGTGTGTGGCACGGCAGTCGTTCCTCAAGTACCAACACTGGCGTATCGTATAATGGAACCGGCCAGAGCCGTGCGCGCCGGCTCTGGTTGGGAGTCCCCTCCTACGACGCTTTCGTACGCGGAATTTGAGTCTTGGGCCGCCCGTGCACTTTCCACTGCCATTACTCGCCCCACAAGGCAGAGCCATGAGAGTGCCTGTTTCCAAAGGGGAGTGGGCTATACGTTGCTTCTAGTGCTGGGAGGGGGATGGGGGAGAGGGGGAAGGGGTCTTGGGAGGTGAACTGGGATGGTGGTGGTGGAGAGGGGGCATCATCACACATCATCACCCATCATCACCCATCATCACCCATCATTACCCATCATCACCCATCATCACCCATCATCACCATCAACCATCATCACCATCACCCATCATCTACCATCATCACCCATAATCACCCATAATCACCATCACCCATCACCCATCACCCATCACCTATCACCATCACCCATCACCCATCACCTATCATCACCCATCATCACCCATCACCTATCATCACCCATCATCACCCATCATCACCTGTCATCACCCATCATCACCCATCATCACCCATCATCACCCATCATCACCATCAACCATCATCACCATCACCCATCATCTACCATCATCACCCATCATCACCCGTAATCACCATCACCCATCACCCATCACCTATCACCATCACCCATCACCCATCACCTATCATCACCCATCATCACCCATCACCTATCATCACCCATCATCACCCATCATCACCTGGCATCACCCATCATCACCCATCATCACCATCACTTAGTACCCATCACCCATCACCTAACAGCACCCATCATCACCCATCATCACCATCACTCAGTACCCATCACCATCACCTAACAGCACCCATCATCACCCATCATCATCCATCACCCATCACCCATCGTCACCCATCATCACCATCACTCAGTACCCATCACCCATCACCTATCATCACCCATCATCACCCATCATCACCCATCATCACCCATCATCAACCATCATCACCATCACCCATTACCCATCACCCATCACCTAACAGCACCCATCATCATCCATCATCACCCATCATCACCCATCATCACCCATCATCACCCATCATCACCCATCATCACCCATCACCCATCATCACCCATCACGCATCACTCATCACCCGTCATCGCCCATCATCACCCATCATCACCCATCATCGCCCATCATCACCATCACCCATTACCCATCACCCATCACCTAACAGCACCCATCATCATCCATCACCCATCATCACCCATCACCCATCATCACCCATCATCACCCATCATCACCCATCACCCATCATCACCCATCACGCATCACTCATCACCCGTCATCGCCCATCATCACCCATCATCACCCATCATCGCCCATCATCACCATCACCCATTACCCATCACCCATCACCTAACAGCACCCATCATCATCCATCACCCATCATCACCCATCACCCATCATCACCCATCATCACCCATCATCACCCATCATCACCCATCACCCATCATCACCCATCACGCATCACTCATCACCCGTCATCGCCCATCATCACCATCACCCATTACCCATCACCCATCACCTAACAGCACCCATCATCATCCATCACCCATCATCACCCATCATCACCCATCATCACCCATCACCCATCATCACCCATCACGCATCACTCATCACCCATCATCACCCATCATCACCCATCGTCACACATCACCCATCACCCGTCATCACCCATCATCACACATCACCCATCACCCGTCATCACCCATCACCCATCATCACGCATCACCCATCAACCATCATCACCCATCACCCATCATCACCCATCATCACCCATCACCCATCACCCATCACCACCCATCATCACCCATCACCCATCACTCATCACCCATCATCGCCCATCATCACACATCACCCATCACCCGTCATCACCCATCACCCATCATCACGCATCACCCATCAACCATCATCACCCATCACCCATCATCACCCATCAAGCATCATCACCCATCATCACCATCACCCATTACCCATCACCCATCACCTAACAGCACCCATCATCATCCATCACCCATCATCACCCATCATCACCCATCATCACCCATCATCACCCATCACCCATCATTACCCATCACGCATCACTCATCACCCATCATCACCCATCATCACCCATCGTCACACATCACCCATCACCCGTCATCACCCATCATCACACATCACCCATCACCCGTCATCACCCATCACCCATCATCACGCATCACCCATCAACCATCATCACCCATCACCCATCATCACCCATCACCCATCACCCATCATCACCCATCACCCATCATCACCCATCATCACCCATCACCCATCACCCATCACCACCCATCATCACCCATCACCCATCACTCATCACCCATCATCGCCCATCATCACACATCACCCATCACCCGTCATCACCCATCACCCATCATCACGCATCACCCATCAACCATCATCACCCATCACCCATCATCACCCATCACCCATCATCACCCATCATCACCCATCACCCATCACCCATCATCACCCATCATCACCCATCATCACCCATCACCCATCACCCATCATCACCCATCACCCATCACCCATCATCATCCATCATCACCCATCACCCATCACCCATCATCTCCCATCATCACACATCACCCAACCCCCACCATCACCCATCACCCATCACGCATCACCCATCACCCATCACCCATCATCACCCATCACCCGTCACCCATCACCCATCACCCATCATCACCCATCATCACCCATCGTCACCAATCACCTGTCATCACCCATCCTCACCCATCATCACCCATCACCCATCACCCATCATCACCCATCACCCATCACCCATCATCACCCATCATCACCCATCACCCATCACCCATCATCCATCACCCATCACCCATCACCCATCATCACCCATCATCACCCATCACCCATCATCATCCATCATCACCCATCACCCATCATCGCCCATCATCACACATCACCCAACCCCCACCATCACCCATCACGCATCACCCATCACCCATCACCCATTATCACCCATCACCCATCATCACCCATCATCACCCATCACCCATCACCCATCACCCATCATCACCCATCACGCATCACCCATCACCCATCACCCATCATCACCCATGGTAAGGTGAGAGAGCGGTGGAGGAGAAGGGGAGTCTGGAACCTTTCACTCATCCCAAGGTTAGTTGAGTGAGGCGCCAGCAACCATCACTGTAAGATGAGTGAGAGGGGAGGAGTTGGGTACTTGAAACCCCCCAGGGAAAGTTGAGTGAGAGGGGAGATGTTGGGGGAATGAAACCCCCAGGGTAAGTTGAGTGAGAGGGGAGCAGTCGGAGGACTGAAACCCCCAGGGTAAGTTGAGTGAGAGAGGAGGAGTCGGGGGGTTGAACCCCCCCAGGGTAAGTTGAGTGAGAGGGGAGAAGTTGGGGGGCGAGCAAGGGGAGGGGATTTCAGACCCCGAGTTACAAGGTGAGGCGAGGGAGGGGGCTGAAACCCCCACCCCAAGGTAAGTTGGGATGGGTGGGTCCACAGACTTTGAGTGTAAGTTGGGATGGGTGGGTCTTCTGACTTCAGAAGCGTTCTGAGATTCCTGTCCGGTGCAAGCTACCAGTGAGCTCATCTTGCAGGTTGGTTTCTTTCTCTGCATGCCTAAGCTTTAGTAGGTAGGAGGCCCCGCAGAGCATCCAAGAAGTTGCCAAACCCGCTAGATGGGACAACAGATTGAGCAGAAAGTCTGCCATGACTGGAACAAGTGATACTACCAGCATGCATCTCCTGTGAAAATGCCCCCCTTTAAATGTGATGAAATGGTGATGACTTTTTCTGTCTAACTAGAATGCATGAAAGTAACGGTAAAAGCCAACAGCCTTTTTTTACTGGTATTAAGATGATAATGAACTGTATACTGTTACGAGGTTATCTTACCTGCTGGATAGGCTGATTTGGTCAATAACGACATCGTAAATCCCCAGGTGCGTGTGGAGCTCCACACAGCCGAAGCGGTGCAGTACGATTGCGAACGATTGAAATATATTGCTGCGTTTCACCGTTGCGGACCGTCATGCACCCTCTCGGACCATGGAATGCCGCACAAACAGCGACACCCGTCAAGTCCGAGACCGAAAAGCTTCTTTTCCTCCGTCCGTACCCTATGGAGCTCTTGAGGAGAGGGCAAGGGCTGTAGTAGCGTAGTGATAGGTGTCTCTCTCCTTGCGGCACGGGCGCAGCTCTTCCTTTTCGTACCCAATTCTCGAGAGGCCTCGCGACAGTTAGGGCTATTTATGCATGTTGTGTCATTGTCATCCTCGACTGACTTTTTCTGTTAGTGACTGTCGTTACCAAGCTTCCACCCCGTGCAATATACGTCAGGCTGGCGTGACGACTATCGATTAGGGATGATAATGAAACAGGATTAAAGTCTCAATAATGCGTTTCTCCGAAGCAGAGCGCGGCCTTCGGCGGACCGAAGCAAATACCTAATGGAAGGACTCACCGGCAAACACGTCGACGAGAACGGCGGGGCTTTCAAGCGCGTCGAAACCGCCGGTAAAGACCCGGCAGTGGTTGCTCTTGAGCATCCTCAAAGGTTGCTCGCGAATGGCGCGGAAGCAGCACGAGGATGGGGAGGTGGGGGGAAAGGGAATGACGATCCTCCGCCCGCGCTGCTCCGCCCCCGTGCGCCGTTTCCGCTTCCGCTCCCCCTTCCGCCCGGATCTAATCGCGACGCCGCGGAGACGTGGCTCCGCCACGCCGTGACGTCATGCTTGCGGCAGCTGTGCCGCGTAACGCCCGGCGCGCTTGTCCCTGCGATCCCGTTTCTCGAGACGCTCTGCGTGAGATGGCTGCTGCACGACGCGTGGCAGCTCGCCATTGGCCAGCAGCGGCTTCAGCTCGGCGGTGGCGTTGGCGCAGCGGAGAATGCGGGCAGGTAGGATCTTCAAGTCGAACGGGGGTGTTCATTGGGGATGTGAGATAAGGATGCGCGATAGGCGGGGTAAGATACGGCTCGCGTCTTTCGGCTCTTGGGCTCTCGCCTTTCACATGAGCCAATTTCCCGCAGTCTGCACGGAAAGGCGGTCGGTGTGCGGGTTAGGCTCGCTGTTCGGTTCTGTCATGCCATTCCGCTTAATCTTAGCGTCTTTGCTTCATGCGGCCCGCGCTCACCCTGCCTCCCTCTTCCTTGCTCCCTCTATCCCCCGCTCTTGCCCCGCTCTCTGTCCCCGCTCCGTTTCTTTCCGCGCGCAGCTATTTTAGCGAGGCGGAGCCCATCCGCCCAGTCATTGCGCGCATCAAGGAGCAGATCGCTGCAGCGAAGCGCCGCCAGCACCAGCACCAGCACCAGCAGCAGCAGCAGCAGCAGCAGCAGCAGCAGCAGCACCAAGGAGCGGATGGGTACTGGTCCGAGGGCAAGCAAGAGGAGCAGGAGGAGGAGGAGCGGGAGGAGGAGCGGCGTGGGCTGTCCGGCGCGAGTTTCTTTCTCTTGGGAGCGGGGTGCGGTGGCGAGGAGGCAGAGAGCGGCGAGTGGCAGCGGGTGGTGGCGGCAGCGGTGGCGGGTGAGGTGCATGCTGCTGTGATCGAGGTCGACTCCACGCTGCTCTGCTCGCTCTCGGAATTGCTGCTCCACGCACCACCCGACCTCTCAACCACCAGCACCAATACCAGCAGCACCACCAATAACAGCACCAACACCAGCAGCAGCACCACAGCGACCACTGGAATCTCACGGGCCGTTTCGCCAACATCAGCTACAACAGCCACTGAAGCCAGGGAAGCAATAGATGCAGCGGCAACCAGCTCGACCACGTCGTTCGACTCGCCCCCCTCCTCCGCGTCCACCTCCCCGTTCCTCTCCGCGTGCCCCTCATCCCCCGCCTCCGTCCCAACCTCCATTTCGCCTCCTCCGCTCCATCTGTCGTCTCCAAACGACGCACCAGGGCTGCGCGCGTCAGTGGGAGAAGCCTGGCGCCGTGGCACCACCAGCGGCAGCAGCAGCCGGAGCAGCAGCAGCAGTGGCAGACGGAGAGGCGGCAGCAGCAGCAGCAGCAGTGGAAGCGGGAGCAGCAGCAGTGCGAGCGGGGGAATGAGGGCGGTGGTGGCGTGGGCGGTGCCGGAGCTGCTGTGTGTGCCATGGGTGCACGCCGTGCTGCGCGCCATAGACAGAGCCAGGGCCGGCAGACACCTGCTGCTCGCACGCATGCTGCTCGCCATGTGCCGCCAGGTTTGCCATGAACCATCGTTCTCACACTACTATTCACAAAGCGGCTAGCATACGCAAGCGCTGAAAACTTTCCCTCCGCATAACCCCTCTCCGTTCCTCTCCCTTCCACCCTTTTTCCCCTCCCCCCCCCACCCCCTCCTCCCCCCACCCCCTCCCCCCCCACCCCCTCCACACCCCACTCCCTCCTCCATATGCCCTTCTCCCCCGTCCTTCTGTTGGTCGTGTCGCGTGCTGCAGGTGGCGGAGCAGCGCCCCGTGGTTCTGTTCCTCCCGCAGGCCCACCTTCTCTCACACGCCCACTCCGAGTTCCTCCTTGCGCTCCACATCGCCTCCCAAGGTACCTCCTCCGCCTCGTGCATGCCCATACCTGTCTCGTGCGTGATCATACCTCCCACATTGCTCTGAATGTGCACCCGCTGTGCGTATCCCCGATCCCTGCTCACATCCTCCTGTCTTGCTTCCTTTAGTGTTTTGCTCTCTTACCCCTTTCCGCCAATCCCCCCCCCTCCCCCCCCCACCCCTCGTTGTCTCTCCTCAGAAATGACCACGTCGTCCCCGTGGCCCGTCTTCCTACTTGCCACAACACCCATGCCACTCCACGGGCCGTCACTCACCCACCACCACCACCACCACCACCACCACCACCACCACCACCACCGCGAGCAGCAGCGCCAGGCAGAGGACGGTCAGGTGTCTCTGTGGGCCGCCCTGGCGTCTCTGCTTCCCCACGTGCCTCTGCTAGCACGGCACGCACTCAAGGGCGCATCACCGGGCCAATCGGCGCACAGCACAGGTCAGGCTGATGATCAGCAGCTTACTTGTTGGTGGAACGTGGCACATGCATTGTTTGATGTTTTCTCCATAGGAATCATCTTGTCGTCTCCTCCTCTTTCCAACCACCTGTTTGCCATGTGCTTTCATCCTCTACCTGTTTCCGCTCATCCTTCCATGTTTGTTTTCCCGTGCTTGTGCTGTCTGCAGGTGTCCTCTCTGCCTTTGACGTTTGCCTTTGACTCTCTGCCTCAACCCATTTCCCATAATTCGTCTTTTCCTTTCGTGCTCTCTGCAGGTGTCCTTTCGCCCACCGTCTCTCACCTGCTCTCCTCTCTCCTCCGAGTGTGCATCCGCCTCTTCTTCCTCCCCCTCCTCTCTCTCATTCGCCTCGCGAAGTCGGTCAAGCTCCTCCCATCTACACCTCCCCAGCCCGCTGTGCTCTTTCCGCCAGCCAATGTGGTGAGTGGCACACTCGGCACAATAATGTGCATTTTTGCACATTATTATGTGTATGCTGCTGCGTGTTACACAGCTCTCTGCACCTCCTAGCACCTCCCAGCATTCATGTTTTTGTTTTTTGTTTTTTGTTTGTTTTTTTTTTTGTTCTTTTTTTTGTAATGCTGATGTTTTAGCCTCCCAACACCTCATATCAGCTCCCAGGACCTCCCAGCACCTCCCAACACCCCCTTGATCTCTCAACCCCCCTTGGTCTCTCACCCCCACTTGGTCTCACCCCCGCATTGGTCTCACCCCCCGTGGTCTCTCCCCTCTGACCGCCAGAGGCCTCTTCTGACCACCAGAATCCTCCTCTGACCGCCAGAGCCCTTCTTTGACCGCCAGAGCCCTTCTTTGACCGCCAGAGCCCTTCTTTGACCGCCAGAGCCCTTCTTTGACCGCCAGAGCCCTTCTTTGACCGCCAGAGCCCTTCTTTGACCGCCAGAGCCCTTCTTTGACCGCCAGAACCCTTCTTTGACCGCCAGAGCCCTTCTTTGACCGCCAGAGCCCTTCTTTGACTGCCAGAGCCCTTCTTTGACTGCCAGAGCCCTTCTTTGACCGCCAGAGCCCTTGTTTGACCGCCAGAGCCCTTCTTTGACCGCCAGAGCCCTTCTTTGACCGCCAGAGCCCTTCTTTGACCGCCAGAGCCCTTCTTTGACTGCCAGAGCCCTTCTTTGACCGCCAGAGCCCTTCTTTGACCGCCAGAGCCCTTCTTTGACCGCCAGAGCCCTTCTTTGACCGCCAGAGCCCTTCTTTGACTGCCAGAGCCCTTCTTTGACCGCCAGAGCCCTTCTTTGACCGCCAGAGCCCTTCTTTGACCGCCAGAGCCCTTCTTTGACCGCCAGAGCCCTTCTTTGACCGCCAGAGCCCTTCTTTGACCGCCAGAGCCCTTCTTTGACCGCCAGAGCCCTTCTTTGACCGCCAGAGCCCTCCTCTGACCGCCAGAATCCTCTTCTGCCCCCCGCCCACCTCCCCCCTCCCCCTGATCCCCCCCCACCATCCACCGGTGGACGGTGGACGCCGTCCACCGCGCCCACCACGCACCGCCCACCGCCCACCGCCACCCCAGTGGACACCACCGACCGTCCACCGGCAGACACTGCGTCCACCACCCACCGTCCACCGTCAACCGTCCACGTCCACCGTCCACCGTCCACCGTCCACCGTCCACCTTCCACCGGTGGACGACGTCCACTGTCCACCGTCCACTGTCCACCATCCTCCGTCCACCGTCCAGCGTCCAGCGTCCAGCGTCCACCACCCACCGTCCACTGGTGGACGGCGTCCACCGTCCATTGTCCACCGTCCACCGTCCACCATCCACCGTCCACCGCCCATCGGTCTCCCCAACCCTTGGCTTGGCGTCCACCGACGGTGGACGGCGTCCACCTTCCACCGTCCACCGCCCACCGTCTACCGTCCACCGTCCACCGTCCACCCTCCACCGTCCACCGTCCACCTTCCACCGGTGGACGGCGTCCACCGTCCACCTTCCACCGGTGGACGGCGTCCACGGTTCACCTTCCACCGGTGGACGGTGTCCACTGTCCACCGTCCACCGTCCACCTTCCACCGGTGGACGGCATCCACCGTCCACCGTCCACCTTCCACCGGTGGACGGCGTCCACCGTCCACCGTCCATTGCCCACCGGTGGACGGAGTCCACCGTCCACCTTCCACCAGTGGACGGCGTCCACCGTCCACCGGTGGATGGCGTCCACCGTCCACTGTCCACCTTCCACCGGTGCACGACGTCCACCGTCCACCTCCCACCGTCCACTGTCCATTGTCCACCGTCCACCATCCACCGGTGGACGGCGTCCACCGTCCACCTTCCACCGGTGGACGGCGTCCACGGTCCACCTTCCACCGGTGGACGGCGTCCACGGTCCACCTTCCACCGGTGGACGGCGTCCACGGTCCACCTTCCACCGGTGGACGGTGTCCACGGTCCACGGTCCACCGTCCACCTTCCACCAGTGGACGGCATCCACCGTCCACCGTCCACCTTCCACCGGTGGACGGCGTCCACCGTCCACCGTCCATTGCCCACCGGTGGACGGAGTCCACCATCCACCTTCCACCAGTGGACGGCGTCCACCGTCCACCGTCCACTGTCCACCTTCCACCGGTGCACGACGTCCACCGTCCACCGTCCACCATCCACCGGTGGACAACGTCCACCGTCCACCTCCCACCGTCCACTGTCCATTGTCCACCGTCCACCATCCACCGGTGGACGGCGTCCACCGTCCACCTTCCACCGGTGGATGGCGTCCACTAGACTTGAGCATTTTACCCGGTCGGGTCGCAGGTACCCGACCCGACCCGACATTTTGGCCGGGCCGGGTAATAGGATTTTGACGAATTACCCGGCCGGGTCGGGTCGGGTACTCGTGCCGGGTAATGCATACCTGTTACCCGAGAATTACCCGAAATGTCGGGTAATTTATTACCCGTCGGGTCGCGGGTACCCGACCCGACTTAGGGTTTGTTACTCGGGGTTTGCTGAATTTTACAGCCACCTAGGGGTGCCCAGGTAATATTACCCGACTTCAATTAATGCGGGTCGGGTATACCCGACCCGCCAGACGGGTACCCCATTACCCAGGTATTAAAATGTCGGGTCGGGTAACAGACCTCCAAACATTACCCGGAAAATACCCGACCCGACCCGACCCGGACCCGATTGCGGGCAGGGCAAAACCGGATCGGGTCGGGTAATTACCCGGTTTTGCTCATGTCTAGCGTCCACCGTCCACTGGTGGACAGCGTCCACCGTCCACCGTCTTCCGTCCACCATCCACTGGTGTACGGCGTCCACCGTCCACCGTCCACCGTTCACCACGGTGGACGGCGTCCACTGTCCACCGATGGACGGCGTCCACCATTCACCGTCCACTGTGCACCGGTGTACGGCGTCCACCGTCCACCGGTGGACGGCGTCCAACGTCCGCCACCCACCGGCCACCGTCCACCGTCCACCGGTGGACGGCGTCCATCGTCCACCGTCCACCGTCCACAGTCCACCATATACTAGTTGACAGCAGGCCTCTTGCTAACAGGGTAATTACCCTTAATGTCGAGAAATTAAGAGTAACGGTTTTTTCAGTGCGTTTTTTTTCCAAATCCGTCCAACTTACGGAAACAATTTCGCGCGATTCCTTAGCCTAACGAGTAACTTTTTTTCGAATCCGTACAGGCTATACTTGTAACAGGGCAATCTGTAGGGAGTAGCGACCGCCCACCCCACACCCCCCTTCCCCCCCACCCCACCCCCTCCTCCTCCCCCGCCCAGCCCCGCCTTTGATCACTTGCTAGCCGAATTTGTAGTGGCGAATTCCGCCTGTTAACGGGCGATCCTAAGGCGATTCCGTCCCCTTCCGGAATACCCTGGGCTTTAGCGAGAGGCCTGGTGGACAGCGTCCACCGTCCACCGTCCTCCGGTGGACGGCGTCCACCGTCCACCATCCACCGTCCACCGCCCACCGTCCACCGGTGGACGGCGTCCATCGTCCACCGTCCAATGTCCACCGTCCACTGTTTACCGTCCACCGTCCACCGCCCACCGCCCACCGCCCACCGTCCATCGTCCACCGTCTACCGGTGGACAGCGTCCACCGTCCACCGTCCACTGTACACTGTCCACCGTCCACCGGTGGACAGCCACAGGCCTCCTCTGACAGCCAGGGGCCTCCTCTGACCGCTAGAGGCCTCCTCTGACCGCCAGAGGTCTAGGCTCTCAGGACCTCCCAGCATCTCCCAGCACCTCTCAGCACCTCCTAGCATCTCGTTGTCCATCTTCTGCATTTTTGCGAGTTTGCCCTCCCCTCGAAGGTTTCTTCTGCATATCACCACCAGCTTCTGGTTCTTTATGAGAGTTTCTCAAGTCTGGCTGCGTGGTTGCTCCCCTTGTATCTCGCCCCGTTTCCCCACAGCTGTCTGTGGACGTGCCTCTGCTATTCGACCCCTTGGGGCAGGAGAGGGCTGTGCTCAAAGAGAGGGATGAGGAAGAGGAGGGAGGGAAGCTGGGAAAGAAGAGGGGGGAAGACGACAGAACTGCGGTGAGGGAAGAGGAAGCGGAGAGAAACAGAGGAAAACAGAGAGATGAAGTGAAGGGAATGAGGGAAGGATCTGTGGATCCACCAGAGGTATTGGCGCTGCGTATGGCATGGGAGGGGCAGGTGAGGGAGCTCCAGGGCAGGCTACAGGAGGTGCAGGCACAGCTGCTGGCGCTGGAAGGGCAACTGCAGCTGGAGCAGACATGGCGGGAGGACCTGGTGCGCAGGGGCGAGATGTGGGAGCAGACGGCCGAGAGGGAGGCGAGGCGGAGAGAGGAGGCTGAGGGCAGGGAGAGGGAGGTGAGGGGGGAGATGGAAGGGGAGAGGGAGAGGAGGAGGGCGGCGGAGGGGAAGGTAAATTGGTTGAGTGAGGAAGTGAGGAGGATGGAGGGGAGTTTGGAGAGGGCGGAGAGGGAGGTGAGGAGGGTGATGGAGGAGGGGAGAGAGAAGGAGGTGGAGTTGAGGGAGGTGAGGGAGGAGGTGAGAGTGTGGAGGGAAAGGGAGGGTGAGTGGAGGAGAGCGAGGGAGGAGGAGGCACGGAAGTTACAGGAGGAGATAGCGGTGAAGGAAAGGCAGAGAGAGGAGGAAGAGCGCGAGGCAGGGAGGAGAGAGAAGGACCTGGAGAGCAGGGTTAGGGATGCAGAGAGAGAAGCAAGGGAGATGAGAAGCCGGGTGCAAGAGGAAGAGCAGAGGAGGGAGGAGGGGTTGCAGGAGAGAGCGGTTCTGGGCGAAAAATTGAGGGAAGCAGAAGAGAAGGCGAAGCAAGTGGAAGTGCTGACAGCACGGTTGAGTGAAGCAGAGGCGCAGGGGGCGGAGGTGGAGGCGTTGAGAGAGGGACTGCGGGCAGCAGAGGCACGGGTAGGGGAGATGGAAGTAGTTGTGAGAGAGAGTGGAGAGAGAGTGAGGGAGGCAGAGAGGGTGAGTACGGAGAAAGGGGAGGAGTTGGAGGAAAGCCTGGCTGCTGCTGTGGCCAGAGTGGGGGAGTTGGAAGCGGAGGTCCAGGTGAGTGGGGAGAGAGTGAGGGAGGCCGAGAGGGCGAATACAGAGAGGGGGAAGGAGTTGGATCATCTAGAGGAAAGCCTGTCTGCTGCTATGTCAAGAGTGGGGGAGTTGGAAGGGGAGGTCCAGGTGAGTGGGGGGAGGGTGAGAGAGAGGGATGGGAAGGTGAAGGCACTTGAAGAGATGGTGAGAGAGTGTGAGGGACGAGTGAGAGAGAGGGAGGAGAGGTTGAAACTCGCAGAGGGGGCGTTGGAAGTGGTAAAGGGGGAGTTGGAAGTGGTGGAGAGGAGGAGGAGGGAGGTGGAAGAGCAGTTGAGGGAGCTGGAAGAAATGAGAGAGGAAGCATGGGTGCGAGAGGAGGAGTGGAGGAAGAAAGAGGAGGGGTGGCTTGGGGAAAAGAAGAAGTGGAAGGGGAGAGAGGATGAGTGGAGGGGATTTGAGGCAGGGTGGAGGAAGAAAGAGGAAGAGCTGCGTTTGGTGGTGGAAGAAGAACGGGGGGTGGTGGATAAGCTGAAGAGGAGAGAGCGAGAGGTGCAGCTGCAGAGGGCGACATGGGAGGAGGGGCAGAGGGAGAGGGAGAGAGAGGAAGAGGCTCGCTGGCAAGCTGAGGTGGGCAGGAGGGAGGAGGCTGAGAGGCAGGTGGCTGGGCTGAAGGCACGGGTGCAGGAGGAAGCAGAGAGAGTGAGAAACGCGGTGGTGGACGCAGAAGGGGGGAGAACGAGACTGTTAGAGGTGGAAGAGATGGTGAGGGATGCAGAGAAGAGGGTGGCCGAGGCAGTAGAGAGGGGTGAGAGGATGGAGAGGAAAGTGAGGGAGATGCAGGAGAGGAGGGAGGAGGTGGAGGGGGAATTGGAGGGGCTGAGGAGGATGGTGTGGTGGGTGATGGTGAGTGTGGGGGTGGCAGTGGGGGAAGGTGAGCTGCAGAGCGGGGGCGGCCTACAGGAAGGGTTGGAGCAGATGGCATGGCGGTGGAAGGAGGAGGTGCGGACGAGGAGGGCGGAGGTGGTTGAAGTGCAGCGGGCGCGTGAGGAGGAGAGGAGTGTGATGCAGGAGGAGGGAGAGAAGAGGGCCAAGGCGTGGCGGGAGGAGGAGGCAGCGTGCAAGCGAGAGGTGAGGGAGCTGCAGGCGAAGGTGGAGGAGATGGGCGAGATGGTGGGAGTGATGAGGAGAGATGTGGAGGAGGCTAGGCGGGTGGCCGAGGGGGAGAAGGGGAGGAGAGAGGCGGTGGAGGCCCAGGCGCGGGTACTACTGGAGAAGGTGGAACTGATGAGGCAGAGGCGGGCGGCAGGGAAGAAAAGGCAACAAGAGGGGAAGGCTGCATCTGGGGAAGGGGCAGTGGGAGAAGCCAGTGGGGTTGAGGATTCACCCGGGAAAGGTGGAGGGGGTGGGGGAGGGGGCAAGAGGCGGTGGCGGGAGGAGGTGGCGGTGCTGCTGGGGCGAGTGGAGCAGGTGGCGCGGGAGAGGGAGGAGGCGGAGCGGGCGTGGGTGGGGCGCATGGCGGCAGTGGAGCTGCGCAACGTGGTCATGGGTGAGGAGCTGGCCGCCGTGCAGCGCGAAAGAGACGCCCTGCTTAACACCCTCATGAGCTCCGCTGGTGCTGCTCCTGGTGGGGGTGCTGGTGGTGTTTCGCGCGGTGCATCTCCGGGCGTCCTGCGTCCAGCATCCTCCTCCTCCTCGTCTGCGCTCTCCGTATTGCCTTCTCCCATCCGCGCCCCTGCCTTCTCCCGTGTGCTGCCAGCTCGACTGTTTTACGCTGACGATGGGTCGCTTGTGTACACAGATGCTGCAGACTCCCCTGCTGCCCCTGTTGCTGCTACTGCTAGTGCTGCTGGTGGCAGTGGTGAGGGGGCTGCGAGTGGAGAGGGGGATGGGGGTATGCTTGGAGTGAGTCGTATGCTTGGAGTGAGTCGCAGCATGAGCAGTGGGGCGTGGAGAGGGAGGAGAGGGGGGGTTGCATCCGCATCATCATCACCAGCACCAGCACCAGCAGCAGCACCAGATGGGCTTGGGGCGCGGTGGAGCAGCCTAGCCACGGTCTGGCCCTTGGAGTGATTGCAGGGTGTCAGAGAGAGCTCTAGTACTGGGATAGAAGATGCTGGCACTGAGCAGGTGGTGTTTCAGGTATTGGCCCCTGCAACTCGTGTACCTGTCCATGCGCCTCACCTGCTTCCTCTCCTCCATGTGCCTCACCTGGCATCTACTGTAAGACATGCAGTTTGTCACACGAGTCGATGCATTGCAAACGGCCACCTTCCTTTGAGGAGAGAGTATCCAACCAGGGTGCGGTTGTCAACTTATACATATTATCTATGTAGAAGTTATAGGCTAGACTGAGGTATGCTTCTAGTGAGTACAACCAACTAGTATTTGTTCTAGGTTTCCACCTCTAGTAATCATTCATTTCTACGTTAACATGGTATCACGCTTAGGTTAGGATCCCCCCGCCTACCGCTTCCGCCCGTCGCGCCTCCTAGGCCCCGTCGCGCCCCCTAGGCCCCGTCGCGCCCCCCCCTGGGCCCCGTCGCGCTCGTTAGGCCCCGTCGCGCCCCCCCTGGGCCCCGTCGTGCCCGCTGGGCCCCGTCGCGCCTCCTAGGCCCCGTCGCGCTCCCCCTAGGCCCCGTCGCGCCCGCTGGGTCCCGTCGCGACCCCTAGGCCCTAACGCGCCCCCGCTGGGCCCCGTTGCGCCTCCTAGGCCCCGTCGCGCCCCCCATGGGCCCCGTCGAGCCCGCTGAGCCCCGTCGTGCCTCCTAGGCATCGTCGCGCCTCCTAAGCCCCGTCGCGTCCCCCCCCTCTGGGCCCCGTCGCGCCCGTTCGGCCCCGTCGCGCCCCTCCTAGGCCCCGTCGCGCCCGCTGGGCCCCTTCGCGCTTCCTAGGCCCCGTCGCGCCTGCTAGGCCCCGTCGCGCCCCCCCTGGGCCCCGTCGCGCCCGTTAGGCCCCGTCGCGGCCCCCCTGGGCCCCGTCGTGCCCGCTGGTCCCCGTCGCGCCTCCTCGGCCCCGTCGCGCCCCCCCTGGGCCCCGTCGTGCCCGCTGGGCCCCGTCGCGCCCCTTAGGCCCCGTCGCGCCCGCTGGCCCCTGTCGCGCCTGCTGTTAGCGCTCGCCCGCCTGGCCTCCTCCTAGTGCCGCTCGGCCTCCTCCTAGTGCCGCCCGGCCTCCTCCTAGTGCCGCCCGGCCCCTTCCTAGCGCCGCCCGGCCTCTCCTCAGCGCTGCCCGGCCCCTCCTCGTGCCCGACCGGCCCCAGCAGCACCAGCCTGGCCCCTCCCAGCACCAGCCCGGCCCCAGAGCACCTGCCCGCCTCCCCTGCTCGGCCTGCCGTGTCCTCTCGGGCCCTGTGTCTTCTGCTTGCCTGCGCTGGGACGCCTAGCTGCTGCCCTACTGGAGAGTGCTGCCGCCGTGTCCCCGCGCCGCTGTGCTCCTGTGCCGCTGAGGAGCTGTGCTGCTGTGCCGCTGTGTCGCTGAGGAGCTGTGCCGCTGACCCTGCACGATGGCTGACTTTGTGCTCCGCCTGGACGCTGAGGGCCACGCGGTTGACTTCGCCGCCTGGCTCTCCGATCTTCGCCGCCAGCTTACAGGTCAGCGCCAGGATGGCCACTCTCTGGTTGTCCATGCTGATGGCTTGCTCCCCCGTCCCCCTGCACCTACTCCCCTCCCTGCTGACCCCTCCTCTGATGACCGTGAGGCTTTCTCTACTGCTGCGCTGGCCTGTGCGATCTGGGACTCACGCGATGCAGTAGCTCAGGTTGCTATTAGTCACGCCCTCCCTGTGTCTGAGCGCTCGCGTTTTGCTACTGTTGAAACGGCCAAAGCTTATTTAGACGCCGTTATTGCTCGCTATTCCACCCCTGCCTCCGCTTCTGCTGGCCGCTTGCTCTTTCCGATGCTGTTCCCAGACCTGGCTGCCTTCCCTACTGTCGCAGATTTTGCCACTCATTTGCGTGCCCTAGAGACTCGCTATCGCACTGCCAGCACTGCTGCCCAGCTCACTGCGCTCCCCCCTCCTTTCTGCATGACGCTCTATTTTATCGCTATGCGCCTGCCAGACCGCCTCGCTAGTGCTCGCGACCACTTTCTTAGCCAGCACCCGGGTGACCTCACTCTGACCGCCTTTGTCGACACCCTCACTGAGATCGAGACTCGCCAGCGCACTATCGCTCAGTCGAGCGGTGCGCCGCCAGTCTCTATCTTTCACGGCTGTGCCCCATCCCCGTGCACGTTCACTGACGTTTCGGCTGCGGTCGCCACGGCGACCCCTCTTACCGAGACGGCTGCTGCTGTCCACCCGCAGCAGCGCTCGCGTCGCGGTGGCCGTGGCCGCCAGGGAGGTAGGGGTGGTGACGCAGGTGGTAGTGGTCGTGGTGGTGGTGACGGTAGTCCGCCTGAGGGGACTACCACCGGTGGGCAGGAGCAGCAGTCCCAGCAGCAGCAGGACCAGCCCCAGCCGCAGCCGCCGTCCCAGCAGCACCCGCCGCAGCCGTGGGCTCGTCTCCCGCCTGGTTGGCCCGGCACCTCCGGAGGCGGTGGCCGTGGTGGCGGCCCGCGCAGCTTGGCGTCTACCAGCGGCTCCAGTGCTGTGACCTGCCAGTACCAGCTTCAGACCGGGCCTCTCCGCGGCACTCTGTGCCGCCGCCCGCACCCGACCGCCCGCTGTTTCCGCCGCCTCGACGATCTTTTTCGTCGTCGCTTTGGCCCGGCCCCGGACCTCCCTGACTGGCACAGCCTGCTCCGCCAGGGCGTGCCGATCTTTGAGTTAGACATGGATCAGATAGGTGCTGCTTTGCATGCTTTGTATGCTGACGCTTCTAGTGTTGATGGATCTTACTACCCTGTGTACTCTAGTTTAGGTGTTTCACCCTTGTGTAGCTTAGCTTCCCCTGCTGCGACAGGCGTAGGACTGCCTAGGTTGCCTAGTCTAGTCGCTGCACCGGCTCCGTCCCCGGCCCCCGCCACTGCGTCGCTGTCCTTCACTCTCGACTCTGGTGCTTCTGCCTGCTTCTTCCGCGACCGTTCCACGCTCACGCCGCTTGCTGCACCTGCTGTTGTCTCTCTCGCTGACCCCTCTGCGGGTCCGGTCGTCGCGCGCAGTTCTACGTCCCTTCCCTGTCCGGCAGTTCCCTCGGGCTCCCTTACTGGCCTCCACGTTCCCTCGTTCTCCAGGAACCTGGTTGGTGTCGGCTGTCTCCAGGACCTCGGCGTCACCACCACGTTCCCCGGGCACGAGCGGTTCGCTGTCTGTTCTGAGGCTGTCTCAGGTTCCCCCCTTGCGACGTTCCCCCGGGACCCGGTGTCCGGTCTGTTTACCCTACACACCGCTTCCCCCCCGGTTGGTGCGTCCTCCCAGGTCGCTGCAGCTTGCTCGTGTCGGTCCCTCACTCACCCCTCCCTTCTCTGGCACCACCGCTTAGGTCACCCTGCTCTCCCGCGTCTGCGTCACATGTCCCAGCACGGTCTTGTCTTAGGTCTCCCCGCGTCGCTCCCTGCCCTTCCTCCCTCGACTGCGCCACCGTGCACGCCTTGCGTCGAGGGTCGGCTCCGCCGTGCTCCTCACTCCTCCTCGCTGCGTCCTGCTACTGCCCCCCTTCAGACCCTGCACTTGGACGTTTGGGGCCCTGCCCCCGTCCCCGGACCGCGCGGTGAGCGCTACTTCCTTGTGCTTGTCGACGACTACACGCGCTACACCACGGTGTTTCCCCTGGAGCGGAAGGCCGACGTGCCCGACGTTCTTCTCCCGTGGGTTGTGGCTGCGCGTCTCCACCGCGGTCTCCCCGTGTTGTGTCTCCACTCCGACCGTGGCGGCGAGTTCGCCTCTGGTCGGCTTGGACAGTTATGTCGTGCGGAGGGCATCACCCAGTCGTACACGTTGCCGGACTCGCCACAGCAGAATGGGGTTGCTGAGCGCCGCATCGGCTTGGTCATGGAGGTCGCCCGTACCTCCATGATCCATGCCGATGCCCCCCATTTTCTGTGGCCGTTCGCTGTTCGCTACGCGGCTCACCAGCTTAACCTGTGGCCACGCTCCCAGCGGCCGCAGGTTTCGCCGACCCTCCTTTGGACCGGGTCCCCCGGTGACGCGTCTGCGTTCCACGTCTGGGGCTGCCTTGCTCACGTTCGTGCCTCTGGCACGGACAAGCTCACTGCCCGCACTGTCCCCTGTGTCTTCCTCGGTTTCCCCCTGGACTCGTCTGACTGGCTTTTCTACCACCCGCCGTCTCACCGCTTCCTCCACTCTCGTGACGTCACCTTTGATGAGTCCGTCTCCTTCTACCGCCGCTTCCCTCACCGAGGTCTCCCAGTTGCCCCCCCCCTTTTCCTTGCTCCCTCTCCCCCGGTAGCCCCTGCCCCTCTCCCGCCTCGTCCTGCCCCGTCTGGTGTCTCCCACGTCACTCCCCTCCCGTCGGTTGTCCCCGTTGAGGAGTCTGCTGACTCTGGTGGTACCCCCGGTCCGTCCTTGCCGCATCCCCCTTCCCCGGTGCCTCCGCCCCCACTGTCGCAGTCGCCGACCCCGCTGCCGCCGCCGTCGCCGTCGCCGCCGCAGCCGTCGCCGCTGTCGTCGCCGCCGCCGCCGCTGTCGCTGCCGCAGCCGTCGCCGCTGTCGCCGCCGCCGCAGCCGTTGCCGCCACTGCCGCCGCTGCTCTCGGCCCCTGGGGGTGCTGGTGTGGAGGAGGGTGTTCGTCCTGCGGCTTCTGGGGGTGCCGCTGGTGTTGGAGGGGGTTCTCGCTCTGGGGGTGTTGGTTCTGGGGGTGCTGCTGTTGAGTGTTCTGCCGACGGTCGTTCTGCCTCTGCTGGTCCGAGAGTTCCGGCCCAGCCGTCGTCGCCGCCGCAGCAGCCGTCGCCGCCGGTTTCCGCTCTCCGCCTGCTCGGCCTTCCCTCCCCGGACCGCGCGCCGGTGTCTCCCCCACCGCCTCCTGACCTCCCTGTCTACGGTCCTGTGTTCCCGCCGCCAGACTCGTCTCCGGCCCGTCTTCCTCCTCGTTCCCCTCCTGTGTCTCCTCCGCTGTCCCCTGACCCTACCCCTCCGTCTCACGTTTGGGCTCGCCGTCCCTCCCGTGCTCGTCCCGTCTCTCCTGTCCTGCCCACCCACCCTATGTTGCTCCGTTCCCACTCGTCTCGTCCTCCCCTCCTCCCGTCCCCTCCTCCCTCGTCCCTTGCTGTTGCACCTCCTCCGTTCTCTGACTACCTCCGTGCTGCTCGTCCCCTTGTCCCTCGGGTCCTTGCCTCTCTTGTTACCGACCCTGCTGTTCCTGTCTCGCGCCTTGACGCGCTTGTCGCTGCTGTCGCTGACTTCGCTTCTACCCGCCGCCTTGACTACGCTACCGCTCTGGTCTCTGACCCTGCCCGTCCTCTGTCCGTCGGGGGTGCTCCTGCCCTTGGCAGTGACGTCC